GGTTTATCCTTCATCTTTTCTGAAGTTTCGATAGAAGGATTCCTCTACTAACGTAAGACAATCAACTCCATTCGTTAGAACAGCTTCCATCGAGTCTCTGCACCTATCCTTTTTGATTTTCGCTTCCTGAACCTTTGTTTGTTTTCGGAAAACGTGATTTGGCTCAGGATTGCCCATTTTTATTAATTCCAGGGTTTCTCTGAATTTGAAAGTTATCACTTAGTAAGTTTCCATACCAAGGCTCAATCCAATTAAGTCCGTAGCGTCTACCGATTTCGCCATATCCCCCTTTTTGAGATGAAAATCTCATTGTGATCTCGTTCCCCTTTTTCTTTCATTTATACCGGAACCGTTGAATTCATTAGATAGATGCCAATTACTGTCTCGAAAAAGTGTTTTCTCCTCTTTGTCTTTGATTTCTTGTCTATCTTCTTTTATCTTCTATATCTATAGGAGGCTTATATTCGGTCCAATCAAAAACGATTTTATCATTTCTGTATCGGCAATTCAATATAGGTGGATACATACGCTATACATCTGCCTCTCTTCCACTCATTTACCCATGAAATTTCGAATACTTGAACGGTCGATTCTTTTCATATTAAAAAAAAGAATATTTAATTGTGATAAAAAAGAAAAATGGAAATTCTATATCGCTAGATTAATCGTTATCTTCTATAATATTTAACAGTTATTTGAAATTCTATATTCTATTCTTTAATATATATTAATATTCATTATGAATAGCGAATATGAATAGCTAAGAATTAAAATAGTATAATAGTGAATAGCAAAGATTCTAAGAGTTTATTGAATTCTTATACATGTCGAATTTATGTTATGTGAGCCTGCTTAGCTCAGAGGTTAGAGCATCGCATTTGTAATGCGATGGTCATCGGTTCGATTCCGATAGTCGGCTTTTCTCTATTTATTTTATTCTATGTTTTACATGATTGATAATGCATCTTTGAAATCAAAGAATATTGAAAAAAAATGTTTTCCTCTTTTGGCGAAAGCCCTTGATTTATTATGTGATAGGAATTTCCAACTATCTAACGAAAAGAATCCTTTTCTTTTTCTATATATAGAATATAAAGATCTGGATATTTATCCAACTCATCTCATTATTCTTTAATAGAATAACTAAGTAAATTTCGCTTTATTTAGAATTTAGTTCATTTTTAGTTTAGGTTTATTCTGTAGAATGAAATTTCATCAATAAGAATTAATAATTAAATATAAATAAGAAGAAGGAGTCTTTATGTCGCGTTACCGAGGTCCTCGTTTCAAAAAAATACGCCGCCTGGGGGCTTTACCAGGGCTAACTAATAAAAGGCCCAGAGCTGGAAGTGATCTTAGAAACCAATCGCGTTCCGGGAAAAAATCCCAATATCGAATTCGCCTAGAAGAAAAACAAAAATTGCGTTTTCATTATGGTCTTACAGAACGACAATTACTTAAATACGTTCGTATCGCCGGAAAGGCAAAAGGGTCAACAGGTCAGGTTTTACTACAATTACTTGAAATGCGCCTTGATAACATTCTTTTTCGCTTGGGTATGGCTCCGACTATTCCGGGAGCTCGCCAATTAGTTAACCATAGACATATTTTAGTCAATGGTCGTATAGTAGATATACCAAGTTATCGCTGCAAACCCGAGATACTATTGCGGCGAGGGATGAACAAAAATCTAAAGTTCTAATTCAAAATTCTCTCGATTCATCCCCCCATGAGGAATTGCCAAACCATTTGACTCTTCAACCATTCCAATATAAAGGATTAGTCAATCAAATAATAGATAGTAAATGGGTCGGTTTGAAAATAAATGAATTGCTAGTTGTAGAATATTATTCTCGTCAGACTTAAACCTAACAAAAATAAAATCAACACTAATAAGAATAAGGAAGAATAAGGGTTCGACCCATTTTGCTCCCTTTCGGCGAAGTAAATTAACCTAAGGTTAAGATAAATAAGGGTTTGATCCGGATTTTTCTTCCATTTAGGTATCATAGACCGAGAGGGAGATTTTCATTCCTTGTCTACTCTACTCTTTTCGTTTACACAGTATTTTCTGTACCACAGCCATTAGGAATAGAGAATCCATATCAACGAAAGGTCTAACTGTTGGAATAGTCGTATCCATTGCTATTTGATCTATTGTGGTTAGTAAGATCGATGAATTAGGTGAAGGTACGGAAAGGAAAGAGAGGGATTCGAACCCTCGGTAAGCAAAAGCCTACATAGCAGTTCCAATGCTACGCCTTCAACCACTCGGCCATCTCTCCTACATAATGATTATGACCCAAAAACTAAAATCGAGTGAATAGTGAATCATTCTAGATTATTGGGTAGGTACAACCAATCAACTCTAACTATAAAGCGATCAAAATCGAAAATTTTTCATCATAGTAAAAGAAGTATCTTTCCTTCTAGGCTGGGGGATAAAGATAAAATTTTTTTCTTACAAAAACTGTTCAAAAAATTCTATTCATGTTTGCAA